GCGGCGCTCCCGCCGAGGGTTCAGATCCCATGTGGAGACCGGTTCCCGCTCACTGGCTGAGCTCAGTGCAGGCGCAACACCGAGGGTTGCGATCCCGTTGCCGGTCAGTAAAAAAGACAAAAAGGAAAAAAAAAAAAAAAAAAACTCTTGTATACGTCATACGTCATGGAATTGAACAGCCAGGAGGAGGAGTACGAAGGGAAATAGGTAATTTCACATTAGACTGTATTGCCTGTATTTAGCTTTCTTGGCAGTGATCAAGAAGTGATTTGCTTCTTTAATAAGTATTTATAGAGAGAATGAGCATCACTATAATTATAAGACAAATTACACATGTTGTAAGCTACATGATAATTACTTTTCCTCACAGAACTGTGAGGAAGAAAAAAGCATAGCCATGTAAAAACCATGCAATTGAGGATAATTCCATTAAATGATGACTTTTTTAAAAGTGGGTCTCTTTTCTTAGAAATTCCTTGAACATTTTGCTTTAGGATAACAGTCATTGCAAGGCCATGCCTTTGAATAAATGCTTCATTTACCCATATTACTGATTTATCAGTGCGATTTTACCTGTAGGAGAAAGTGAGAATAAGCAAGAACAGTTGTATTCTCTGTACTTTAAAGTCACCAACACACTAAAATCTTAGCAATTATTTTGATACTTTATACACCTAGCTGGTATTGCTCAGTGATGAATAAATTATCACAGGCTATGAGGTATAGACAAAACGCTTGCTGTGTTTGTCTTCAAAGATTTCCCTTCTAATTCCTCATATCTATTAACTGTTGCATTCAAATTGTCAATTTCACCATTAGGTGTAAATATTTATGGAGAATGATTGAAAGATATCAGAAATAAATAAAGCATTAAACAGAAAAGACAATACCTTGAATGAGAATCACAATTCACATGATTTATAGTCAGATATGGAATGCATGGAATAACCCTTATGTTAAAAAATGTTCTGCTTTGATTATTTGCCATATATTAAATTTTTGAGCTTTTAAAGTATTATTTGCTGAAAAGACAATACCTTGAATGAGAATCACAATTCACATGATTTATAGTCAGATATGGAATGCAAGGAATAACCCTTATGTTAAAAAATGTTCTGCTTTGATTATTTGCCATATATTAAATTTTTGAGCTTTTAAAGTATTATTTGCTGTGTATTCTCATTCATTACCACATGTATTTTTTCATAAGATAAATAATTGATGTCATATGGTTGATTTTTGTTTCTGGTGAAATACTTGCTTTGAAGTGATAACAGTCTGAGATTCTCGGATTGTTCACGACATAATTTGTTTTCTGAACAAAGTCTATCAGTTTAACTTGAATTTCAATATTTTTGTGGAAAGGTATGTATATGATGATAAAAGACCCATCTTTCTTCTTTAATTACCTCACTGTGGCCTTTACTATGTTTAAAGTGTAACTGTTTTGAGTGACACAATTCACTAATTACAAAATAAGATAAATTCAGGAAGTTATTGGTCAGAGATGTCATATCTACAAAGGACACATGAATACTGGTCAAAAAATAAAAATGGTATCAATTATGAAAGATACAATACTAAGTGATGCTTTCCAGGTGATATTTCTATAATCCAGTGGAAACCAAATAGAGAAATCTGCTGCTTCTCATTATGTCTAGAACACTAGCCTTCAAGCCACCTTAACTCACTAGACTAAGTGGTTCCTCAAAAAGTTGAACATGCTGTTCCTAGTCCAGAGGAGAACTAGTGGAACTTGAGCAAGCATAGAGGACTTCATCTAAAAGTATATTCCTGACTCTATAGCTACTTGTAACAATACGGCAGACCCCATACACTACTGAGCAAACACAATTCAGCCAAGTTAGTCCTGAAATGAAAGTTATTTTACGTGGTGGTAAGTTCTCTCAAAAATTAGTTACTCATGCTGACAGGACAGAAGACAGCTATTTTCAAGTTTACCATGCTCTGGTGTATCATTTAGATATATAGGAATGACCCCATCCCACTTCCTTATCCACGGTTGGCAAAGTTAGGTGTGAACCACCCAAGAATCTGTGGACTCTCCAGCAGCATAACTCATGAGGCAGAAGCGAAGAGGGACTCTGCCCACACTTGAGATCTATATTCTGGCTTCTCTTTCTTTAGGAGTGGTCTTTTGGAATTTTTTAAAGTTACTTCAGTATTATTGCTGGTGTTATGTGGGCTGCTACAACTGAGCAAAACAGAGAATCCACTCTGGAGGTAACAGATATCCCCATACTATCAGCTGTCCTAGCAATGATTAGTTCAAGTCTTGTTATGTAAGCAAATGTAAATGCATGAACTAAGATCCTAACATCACATTAGAAAAAGGCCATTTAGCTGGGGTTCATTGAAGTTATCTTCATTCCTAAACACTGAGTCCAGGTTTTAATTTTATGTCCTTGTGAAAATAGAAATATTACTTGGTTACATGAAAAGAAGTAAATAGAAAAGGAAAAGCAAATATTTCCTTCATTATAGCATTCAGCATTTTTAAGTAATTGCTTCAAATTGTGTAATTTAGTTTGCTTTTAAAATGATCATTTTTTCATGTTGTCATTCAAGCTCTGACTAACTTGAGGTTTAACAACTAATTTTCTCTAAGTTAAAATTGACTGCTGAACCTATTGTTAAATATCATTTGATTGTGAGAAATATCCAGAGGCAAATGCTACTTTTTCTGATTTATTACCTAAAAATGCAGTCAATTTTTGTTTATTCAAGAGTGATGTTTAACATGGGCATATCTAGTAGC